TCAGGTTGTGGTGACCCCCAACCATCAAATTATTTTCGTTGCTACTCTATAACTGTAATTTTGCTACTGTTATGAATCGTAATGTAAATATCTTTTTGTTTTCCGATGGACTTAGGCGACCCCTGTAAAAGGGTCGTTCGACCCCCAAAGGGGTCGCGACCTACAGGTTGAGAACCGCTGGACATGGGGAAATATGGTAATTCTTTGGCTTTTAAGGATATCACTTAACTTCTCTGAAACAGTTTCCTCATTTCTTAAATGAGCTTACTACCTTAATTTTTTTACAGGATTGTTTTAGAATTCTTTCATTCAACAAGGAAATTTGATGTATTTCACAGTTATGCTTGATACTCATGAGTCTTAAAATAGATAAGAGAATCCCTTTTCTTCTTAAGCTTATGCCAGGGAGATTAAGACATACATTAAAACCATAATAATTCACAAGATAGAAGGTGTTAAACCTTCAAAGCAGATCAAAGGAACAAGTGATTACTTTAAAATGAGAGCATCGGGGAAGACTTGATGGGAGAAATGACATTTGTGCTGGACATTGATAGAATGAAAGCTATTTCAAGGGAAGAAGACAGATGAGCAGAGATTTGAATTTTAGTTGCCCGGGGTATGGGGTGGAGCATAGGCGGAGGGAGTGGGTTATGCAGAAGAGAAGTGACAGATTCACCTAGGGTAAAAGAGAGTATTGGATGATAAAAATGAAAAGATAGTTTGAGAGCAGTTCTTAGAGTTCAGCCAACAAGTGTAAGTAAAGCACATTTTTGGTTGTGAAGCACTACGTCAATATGGCGTATGTGATAGGAGTTGTTCTTTCTGTAGGGAAAACCTTAGTCATCCGTATGTGGAGTTTGTTCTTTTACTTCCAAGATGAGCATGGTGGCATTATCATCATTAAATAAGACATAAGAATAAATAAATACATACACTTCTTCATTCATTTTATGTGAATGAATCAAAAAGAAGTTTTTTAAAATTCAGGGACTAGTTGAGGTGTTTGCTTTTGTAAATATAGACTAAGCTTTTGTGAGACAGCCTGAGTTTTTTTTTTTGTTTTTTTTTTTTTTTAAGATTTTTATTGGGGAATTGGGAGGATGGGAACAGTGCTGGGGAATTGGGGGAAGGGGAACAGACAAGTTGCTGNCAAGCCAGTTCTTAACCATCGCGCCACTCGGCCGGCCCCATATATTCTTTTGTATGTATGATAAGTTGCCCAATTTTGAAAACTAAAGAAAAAATTTTGAAAAAGACAAATGACTGTCTTCCTTCTGGATGCTTTCAAGTCCTAAACTAACAATACTATAAATAATCTGTCACTGATAAATAATAAGTCAGAGGAAATCTCAGTGCTTGTTTTTGTTTGAAGGTTTTTTAGAAAACATTTAAAGTATCTGAAATATAACATCACCTCTAACAACAAAAGTTTTTATAATATTCATAGCAAATATTTAAATCCCTGAGGTTATCTCTCTCCGTGTTTCTTATCCCTTTACGTTTAAAATATCACACTTTCTTTTATTTATTTATTTATTTATTTATTTTAGAAAACAGTAGATTTCTTTTTGTCATTTTCTAAATGTAAAATTACATTACAATAGAGAAAAATATTTTTGAATCTACACACCCTGGACATACTGATTTGCCAGTCTCTTGAGAATATCTAGTGTATCTTTAAAAATTCACTTTGAATTACCTCAGTATAATAGTGTAAGTACTATCAGAAAATAAGTGTTCTTATTTTTACTGTTGTCTCTCTTACTCATCGTCTCAAATATGTGAACTCCAATTGAGTAATACTGAAATTTAAAAGTGTATACACTGTAAAAATGAAATTGCACTTAAATCTCTCCTATAAGAAAATTAGTGTTTATATAATTTGATGCCTAAGATTATAACCTTGTTTATTTAGTGACTCAGATTTCTATAACAGAACTTGAATAACTAGCAACTCTAGTCTAGTAGTATATAGAATGATGAAGGATGATTCTCTGGATCAGATTTATAAAAATTCAGATCATAAAATATTTTTGTTTTCATGGTAGAACTTTGAGCCTCATACATGGTAGAACTTGATTACAGCATATATTAAATGTACTTGCATTTTGCCCCAGACCCAAAATACTGTTTTTCTGTCCACAGCCTGCACCAGCATGGACTACTTTTAGAGTTGGCCTATTTTGTGGAATATTCATTGTACTAAATGTTACCCTTGTGCTTGCCGGTAAGTAGTTTAAATTTTGAATTAAATTATTCTTACTAATATGTCATATTCTGTCCTACCAAACTACCAAAGCTACTGAAAGAGAAATGTTAGGGCTAAGTTTTTTGTTATTATAGATAAATGAGTGGGGGTCATTTGTTTGGGTTTGTTTTTCACTTTGCATACATACTATTCTTTAAAACACTGCTAGTTGATGACCTGTTATTCTCCATCATTTTCCAGTGTGTATGTATAATTTCTTTAGACTTTTTCAGTGTTCAAGAACCTCAGCTCCCTTGATCACAGACAATAGTAGATGAGGTTACAAAATTCATGTACTAAAGCTCATTCACCTGTTTTTTTTGAGACTCATATCCTTTCCAGAGCCTATTTATAATTACTTTTTATATAATTTTAAGAAGCTTGGTTATATAATTTCCTTTTCCATAGAAGTTAAAAATTAGAAAGAAGTAGGAGGAGTTTCTAGAAGCAGGTGCATTCTCAACATGAAGAAATCATGTAACATTGAGGGAAGCCTAATCTTACTAAACCTCCCGACAGAGTTTAACAAAACCCCTCAGCAGCATTGGATATTGTGGAGCACTCCTTGAAACTCTTTCTTCGGTTGTTTCTGCTGGGAAACCACACTGTGCTGGTTTTTCTATTATACTTCACTGGCAGTTCTTTTCCACTCTCCTTTGCTAGCTATTGTTTTCTTTGTGACATCTGAATTTGGGGGAGTACCACTAGGCTCAATCCTCAGATCTCTTTCTCTGTCTACATTTATTTTCTACCTAGGCAATCGTATTTAAACCCAAGGCTATAAATACCATCTATGTGTTAATCACTCCCAAGTAGCTATATATACTCTTTCTTCTCGAATGCTACCTAATTGGCTACTTGGATGTCTGATAGGCAGCTCAAATTTACATGGACCCTTATATCCACTTTCTCTTCCATATGGCATCACCTTTCATCAGTTTCTTAGGCCAAAAACCTTTAGCCTGTCTTTTCCCTCATACCCCATCTTGAGTCCATCAGCAAATCCTGTTGCTCTGTCTTCAAAATATGCCCTGAATCTGACCCCCTGACCAGTGCCATCCTTGTCCAAGCAACCATTTCTTGCTTAATGTACTGCAATAACCTTCTGTACTTGTCTTCCTGTAGCCTCTTGCCCACTTCAATTTAAGTTAAATCATGTCCCTCTCCTCTTCAAAATCCATTAATGGCTTCTCTTACTGTATAATTGAAACTTCTTACTATGACCTGCCAGACCCTTCAGAATCTCTCCCCTGTGGACCTTTCTGACTTCACATCCTGTCATCCTCCCCACACTTAGTTTCAGTCACTTTCACTCTTTTTCCACCCACACTTGTGTTGTTACTGCTCCTTGAACACCTTCAGGCTCATTCCCATCTACCAGCACTTGCAATTACCTAAAAAACTCTTCCTCAAGAAGTCTACATAGCTTACTCCCTCACCTCACATAGTCTCTGTTCAAATGCCACCTCCCCAATAAGGCCTTTCCTGATCACCCTACCCTAAAATAACCTGTTCTATCCCATTAGCTGACATTAGTTTCCTTCAAAGCACTTGTAATTATGTGACATAATATTTCATATTTATGTTTCTTGATATCCGTTTTCCCACTGTAATGTAAGTACCTTGATGCCTGAGCTTTTGTCTCTCTTGTTCACCATTTCATTTCCAGCACCTAGAACACTGCCTGGCACATAGTAGGGGTTCAGAAATATTGGTGGAAGTTTGAATGGATGGAAGAGAAGGACCAAAATGAAATTAAATGATATACAAAAAAACACACACACAGGGTTATCACTTCATGAGGGGTATGAATATCTAACTATTATATTATTTTGTATACATGAAGTTAATACACACACACACACACACACACACATACACACACACAACAAAAAGACAGACACATCTCAAAGGTTCTTGCATTTGAAGACTTTTACTTTAAGGGCAAATAATCCTAGTATACCTCAAGAGCCTGTGAACTTACCCTTACAGTGATAACTCTGAATCATTAATAAAGGATTCAGTTCTGCTCAGTGAAGTCTGCCAAGCTACATGACTTAGAAATAGATGTTATTGTATAAATTTCCATTATATTCTGTTTTGCACTTTTAGTAATCATAATAGTGCCCGAACAAGGAAGGTTTATATCACTGTCACACTTAACTATTTTCGATTGCAGAGACTATGTGTTTTTAATTTTTGTATTTTGAATTCCTAACACAGTGCTAAGCATATATCGGATGTTTAAGAAGTAATTTTACTGAACTCATTATTCCTCATAAACATTCTTCTTAATTAAGACTGTCAATTGCACATTATGAAATTATAACCCAAGTTGTAATGGCTTTTAGAGAGTATATGAACTTTACCTGTTACAATGTGTTTTCATTTGTATTTTTAGAGTTCTCCTTCCAATTACTGAAAATTAACTCTAATAACGATTGTCTACATAAGCTCATGATTTAATATTGGTATAATTTATGATCACATTTTAATCTAGTTCTATTTCTTCAGATGAATGCAGTCTGTTTATATAGAATGTATGGAAATACTACAGTAAAAAAACCTAGCCCCAGAAAACCAAGCTAGCTATTATAGAAAGAACAGTTACTGGCCTTCAAAAGGCTTTGACAGGGTTTCAGTCTCAGCTCCACTGTTTGTTACTGTATTTCCCCATGTATAAGATGCACCCTTTTTTGAAAAGTTTGGGGTCAAAAAACTGGGTGTGTCTTATACAGTGGTTGTAGATTTTTTTACTTGCATTTCCCACAAGTGATGAGTTGTATGAATTTTATGATGAATAAAACTTGAGTTCA